TATATATATAAAATTTCTACAAATTTCTAAACTGAAAAACCTAAAAAAAAGATAAAAGAAACCTGACTCAATATTTGATATGCCTTATGTTTAGTTAGAAGGTTTGTATACAACTTAGTTTTTATTTGAGAGTTGATTATTAAATTCATTTGATTAATTAAATTATTATATAAACGTTATTTTCACTAAATGAAAATTTTAATTTCAGGTTTGCTAAAAAAAAAAATCATTTTGGTGCATCACTACTCTAAGTAGCTGGTTTCTTGCTTTTTTTGTTTTCAGCAGCCAAAACTACCTGGTAGGCCATGGGTGATGGGGTGGGGTGGTAACTGGCAGGCGAGTGTGTGTTTTGGTATCCCACTGGGCTTGGGGCCACTTGGTGGTAACTCTGTGGGCTGGGGCTGGGCTGGTAGGACCCTTGCGGAGAGGGAGCTGCATATGGGGAGTACTGGTCAGTGTTGTACCTATGGTGCAAAAACATACTCCGTTTAAGATGTTCTCAAGCCAGAACAAAATCATCGAGCATCTGATTGAGCCCTCACATGGCAGGAGTCCCAGGAGTCTGAGGGTTGTACTGAGGGTTGACCTGCGGGGAGGGCACTTCTGGGTAGCCAGGAGTCTGAGGATTGGGCGTACCCCCATAGCCTTGAGGAGACGGTGAGGGTTCGTCGTCATAGGCGAACTCGTATTCGTCATCAGGCCTGAAAACAGAAGGAAAACGAGATGAAGTTGAGGTATGTGTGATTGTTCGATTGTATGCATGTGCATGTTTGTCCTCGCTCTGCTTCTTACCGTGATGGTGTGTTTGGATTGCTGGGGTCCCAAGCGCCGCTCTGACCTGGCGTCCTGCTCCCATCATGCAGAGGAGTCTGGGAGCCATAGTGAGGAGTACGGCTTCCTGTGAGCAATGAAAGACGGGTTTAAAAAACAAAACAAAAAAAAACAGTGTTGCAAGTTTATAAGAATATATTTTGGCATTTCTTACCATCATGGAGGGGTGTCTGGCTACCATACATGGGGGTACGTGAGCCAGTTCCATAAATGGGTGTCTGGGAACCATACATCGGGGTTCGTAAATGGGTGGAAGTCCTTCCTTGTCTTTCTTTGCCACCACTGATTTAAAGAGAGCAAAAATATTGAGGTGTTAAAAAAAAAGAAATACATTTAGAAGAACAAAAGTTCTACACTACTATTCAAAAGTTTGGGGTCAGTAAGATTTTTTATTTTTTTTTGCAAGAAATTAATACTTATTCAGCAAGGACACAAGGAATTGATCAAAAGTGACAGAACAGCATTTATTTAAAATTAATCTTTTGTAAAATCTTTAATTATCAATTTCTATTCAAAGAATCCTGCAAAAATATGATGGTTTCCACAAATATTAAGCAGCACACCCGTTTTCAACATTGATAATAAATGTTTCTCGAGCAGCAAATCAACATATTAGAGCGAGTTCTGAAAGATCATGTGACAGTGAAAACTAATTACTGCTGAAAATTTGGGTTTAGCCATCATAGGAAGAAATTATATTTTAAAATATATTAAAATAGTTCTTTAAAATTGTAATAATAATTCACAATATTACTGTTTTACTGTATCTTTGATCAAATAAATGCAGCCTTGGTGAACATAAGAGACTTCTTTCATAAACATCTAATTAAAAAAAAAAGATCTTCTGTCTAGCAATCTCTG